ATATATATATATATATATATATAGAGGCTCAGGATTTCTTGCAAATATGTTTACTAGTACAACAAAAGCATATTTTTAAAAATATAAATTTAATTCCATTCTTATGACTTTTTATGTGTGTACCTAACCATTGATTTACTTGTGAACATCGGAAAAATTTGGGGCGGGATTAGCAAAGAAAAAAAATCCTCCCTCCTTCATCAGTTCTTATTCTTTGATAGGGTTATAAACTAATATTGTTTCTTATGGGGCCTTACGCTTAAATAACGTAGGCCTATTTGTATTTACCAGTATTAATAATGACTGTATGTATATATTATATTTATATATTTTTCCCAGTGGGCTGGTTTCCTCTGCTGTTTTCCTTTGCGATTATGCCATTTCTTAATAAAGTTAGAAAAGGAAAGTAATCAAGTACAGTATTAGTTGTGTTGTGCTTCATCATTTTGTGTATACCAATTTGGGGTTGAAGACTCGTACTCTGAGTGCTGGGGGGACGAATCTATTCAAATCAATCCCGGTGCAATCCCCGAACCATAACAGTACTTACAAAATATATATCTACCACCCTCAACGTCCAGGATGGTTCTACGCCATAGAGAACGCAACACAATGATGATTAAGAAATTTATCAAAATTACTGAGCCAATGAAGGGGGGGGGGGGCACAGGTTCGACAGGGACCCAACACAAAAAATGGGCCTGGTATGGTACATGTGGAGTTTATGGCTTTGATTGACCCGAAATTATACCACTTTTAAACCACAATAATTATGGATTATTAATCAGAAATAAGGTTTTGGATAGGCAAATAACAAATGAAACGAAAAAACACCAAAATTTACGAAATAAATTTAATTTTAATGTAAATAAAAATGTGCAAAATAATGTGAATGTAAAATTCGAAATAGATAATCAGAGATTTCACTGAGATTTTCCTACATAAAATGGTAGAATAGACCTACGAATTTATTATTTCTACGAAATTGTATTAGTTACCGGTATTTCTATAAATCCATTGATTAATATTTAATCAATGGATTTGAGCAGAACATGTGTGTAGAATCATATTGCAGTCGCGCCTTGCCAGAATATTCCATACCTCAGTCTAGACGATAGGCCCTAAACAAATAATTGGAAAAATAAATCAAACAAATGATGACTATTGGAATCTCCTATTTTTACAACACTTTTTCTTTTTCTCGGAGTTTCGTGGGAAAAGAAAAGACCCAATAACCGCATAGTGATCCGACAAGTTCACGACGTCAAGCGTCTGTTCGCAATCAGGCGATAGACTTGACACGTACTCGCCTGTTGACGCAGCGATACAGACGCTAAACGTTGGACATCTTGGTTTGAAGGCAATCACGCTTGCTCTGACGCCTTCAGTCAAATGCGATGAACTCAACACTACATAATCCAACCATTGCTCTGTCGGTTGTTCTTTATCCAGTATCAATTCATTCGTTAGTGGGTCCCATGTCGTTCGCAAAGGTCCAGCTATATTAGGAAGGATAGCTCCCATGTTGTCGAGGACGCGCTCAGCGTGATCTGGGAAGTTATTCATATCTGCGTTAAAATCTCCCGCCATAATTACTGGTTCAGAAGTACTTATTTCAAGTCCTGCAATGAATTTGGACATTTGTGTTGCCTGGGCTTCACGTACTACTTCTCTTGTTGCGCCTACCTCGGCCTGCATGTGAGTGCCAAACACGTGATATGGCAAGGTTTCTTTGTCGTCTGACTTCATTATATGCGCGTACATGACTCCTTTTGCTGCGAACGCGTCGGCAGTAGTCGGGTCAGATATATTGAATATGTACTGCTCATAATACACAATCGGCCAACGTGAGGCGATGGCAACGCCACCATTTTCCAAGAGAAGAGGATTAGCTTCTTCTGCGGCTCCAACATTAGGAGTTATATATCGAAAACCATAATATGTTAAAAGATCTCTCAGATCCATTTCATTTGGGAAACATCCTCCCATGTACACCTCTTGGAAGACGATGACGTCAACATATCGGTGACCCCGTATAATGTTAAGAGGTATGCGGCAAGTCCGCTCTCTCTGTCCGGAATACGAGAAAACAGGCGGTAAACCCAGGAATGCTGGGTTATAAATATAATCCAGCTCGTAGATATTATAAGACACAACTTGGAAGCTGTTCACGCCAGTAGGCTGACCCAACGGCCGTGCTATTGGTGCGGCGCACAGTACTACATCAGTAGAGTTAGTACCACCACTGGAGTTTGTACAAATGAAATCCAGGCCAAACGGCCAACAAGTTAATCTACTAGGTGGATGACGTGCAGATGAGGCATCTATTAATTAAAACAAAAATTAAAATAGTCAATATGACGTTTAACATTAATCATTAATATTCAGTCGCTTCAATCTTTTATTTCAGACAAATACAACATAAAAAAAAAGGTTTGCAAACAATGGATCAACTAAACAAACAAAGGTCACTACTTACCATCTACAACATTATATATTATTTATTATCATTTGATAATTATTATTAAACATACAGTACCGTATAGCTTAGTAAGTGCTCCTTATGAAAACACAACATCATTATTACATTATTAAATTATTATTAGTATCATCATCTTTATCATTATTAATATTATTATTATTACCTATCCAAACATAGGGACGCTTCTCTAGTTGTAGCAAATTTTCTTCACCACCAGCACAACTCCAGTATTCTATAAATATAAATAAATTTAATCATGTATTTCTGGCTTTTTAATTGATAAACCATCATCATTTTATTTACAAATGCAGATATTACCTAATGGACACAGCCACGGCAATAGCCAAACAAGACCTCAGCACCAGATATACACATTTTCATGCACCAGGCATACAACCTCAGGACCAGATGCACACATTCTCAGCACCAGATGCACACAACCTTAGGACCAGAGGTATACAACCTCAGGACTAGAGGCACACAACCTCAGGACCATGCAGATGCACACATTCTCAGCACCAGATGCACACAACCTCAGGACCAGAGGCATATAACCTCAGGACCAGAGGTATACAACCTCAGGACTGGAGGCACACAACCTCAGCACCAGATGCACACAACCTCAGGACCAGAGGCGCACAACCTCAGCACCAGATGCACACATTCTCAGCACCAGATGTACACAACCTCAGCACCAGCTGATCAACCTTAGCACTGCACCAGATGCACACTCAGCACCCGATGCACACATCATCAGCATTCCTCACAGCCTCAGCACCATTATACACAGCCTCAACATCAGGCGCCAGTGGCGGATCTAGAGGGGGTGAATAGGGTGGCTAGCCACCCATTGAAGTGAAAAAAATAATGGTCACTCCTCTTGTGTGTTTATGTGTGTGTGTGTGTGTGGGGGGGGGGGTGCTTCACGTGTACTCTGGTAAAACATACTTTCTATTAGAATTTTACTTTTTCAGATGCCATCTAAGATCGTCTAGCAGTCTACTAACTTCAAACAAATCTCAAATAGGAGGGGACGCCCCTCCCTAAACCACCCCCGGTCCTTCTCACCTACCAACCCACCCCCAATTTCTACATCCTAGATCCGCCGCTAGGTGCACACAATCTCAGCACCAGATACACACAACCTCAATACGAAGCACCAGATGCACACACGCTATAGAACTAGATGCGCACAACTTTATCTCTACCAACTTGGCGTATCCAGGAATTTGAAATAGAGGGGGACAAGAGAGAGAGAGATTTACCAATGGTAGGTTTAGACCACTAAACTCCACAACTTCATTTGTGTGGATGCCTGGAGTGTGCTTGATAATATGGGATGATATTTGTATGCTTTTGGCAAATGAATAAGGTTATACAGTCGTTCCTTTTCCTGATAGGCCCTACCATATAAGTCAATGCATTAAATAAGATTGTCGACTAGCATAAAAAACATCTTTTTTATCTGCTAAACCTCTGTGAACGTAATCTGGGTGTAAATCAAATGTGCAACTAACAAATAATTCACATCACTTTTCTGTTAACTTCATTATTATCACCATTATTGTGCTTTGAGACTGCAGAGATTGGATAAAATTCGACAGCCTCGCTGCCCTAAAACCAAATAATGGGCAACTATTTTACAGGATTATAAACGATAACTGGTAAATATTAATAGGACTGTAAATAAGCGCTGCTCTCAAATAAGCACCGCACCAAACCTATTTTCCCCCTAAACGCCGCTCTCAAATAAGCGCCGCGGCGCTTATTCATCGAGAGTCCATATCACCCTATGTGTATTGAAAAACATGACTCAAACACTTTGAGAAACATGATTTTAAATACAATGTATACATTGATCAATAAATAACACAACGAAGACAAAAGCATATCTTTATAAACATTTATTACGATGATGTGGGGTCTATGATAGCCCTACCGAACTATGGGAATAGGTTACATGGGAAAAAGGGCCGAAAGGTGGGGGGAGGGGGGTGGAGGACCGACCTGCCCCACCCCTTATATCCGCAACTGGAACGGGAATGGAAAGCGCCACGCCAATATTTACTTAATAAGTTTGACGTCGCAGTGCACGGACGAAGCTTCCAAAAAGTTTATAAGCGCCGTTGCCCTTATTCGAAGATTTACGGTAATCTCTTAAATCTCCGCATTTCCAAGGATTACCGTACTTTTATTACCACACCATAAACTTTAACAAACTTGAATAACAAGATTCAATATCAAAACACCACAACCCATAGTACATTAGGCCTACTCGAATTATGATAAAATAATTTTGCACAAATTTATCTCCTTCACGGCTATCTCCTGTCGCAAATGTAAAATAACTCTCAGTAATTCCTATACACTCTAAAAAATAGGTGGTGAATATTTCCTGGTGAAATATTTTTAACACTTTCCTGGTCTATTTTACCAATGCTCCTGGTTATTAACGCTAACCAAACTAATGTTAAAATCCTACTCAACACAGAATCTGGTGAAGATATACTCATCTCATTTCTGATTGGTTTATGAATATGTGACGTCTTAAGTGACATCGTTTGTTAGCCATTTTATTGTTCGCGCTCAAAGTTTTCATCACGACGACGCGGTAAACTTGATGTCCGATTGATTGTTGTTCAAAGTGGTTATTCTTGTTTTAAAATGACGAGCTATGTATCGGAAAAACTTGAGGAGTGGAAGAAGAAGAGCATAGACGTGCTCGAAATATTCGAAATAAAAAATTATCTTATGTCTATTATGTCAACGTATATGACTCTACTTTGTGCATTCGTACTCATTTTATATATATATATATATATATATATATATATACAAATATATATACATATACATAATTATATATATATATATATCTTAAGGTTCTAGAAACTGTATGAATATAAAATATGAATTTATAGATAGAACTTGTCAACTTATCTGAAACCACTAATATTAATATTTTCTTAATTTCAAATAAACGTTATGAAACCAGATTATTTTTCAAGAACTTTTTAGTTTACTGACAATTAAACCTGCCTATGACAGAGGTTAATTCAGCGTAAAAATTTAATGGTAAACCAGTGATCCGTCTCAAGCAGAGTACGGTGAATAAAGTATAATCTAATTCAAGGATGTAGGTAGATGCTTATTAATTGAAAAAAATAGGAATGACAATAAACAAATGAGAACATAACAATAATACACAATTAAAGAAATATTATCTGATAAAAGTCGAAACTAAACTTAACTAGTTGAAACATATATTATATCTAGGCCTATCTGAGACAATTATTAGGCTATCTGTAACTATAGTTGTCTCAGTAGGGCCTATCTATTCACGATACAGTCCTAAACATTAAATCAATGCCACGACAATGTTCTTCCTGAACCAAATTAATTTGGTTAAAACAAATAATTACCATTCAATTAACTTTACAAACCTGAATATGACTTTGATGCCACTAAGTGAAAAAGGTGGATAAGGATTGCCGCCCGGAGAATCATACCGACTTTGTCAAACACTACGGTGTTGCTGAAGCTGAAAGACCTGTTATCAGGCACGATCCGTGTTTGTATGCAACGCCAACCTTAAATGCAAATCTGACCGAGGTTTGGTTTTTTTTATACGTCACAGAGTTTCGTAGTTCATTGCATTTTACTGTAGGCCCTACATAGCTGGTACCAGCATATCTGGACTGCTTTTAATAATCGCGTTATTGAGAAGGCTATTCTTCTAACATTAAAGTGATTAAGTATAGTACAACTGCAGGCATATTCATTTGGCTATGTACAGACCTTACAATTATCTGGTCGAGCCTTCACTGGATTTATTTTATTTTTAATTATTTTACAATCAATAATCGAATAATCATAGGATAAATTTAAACCATGAAAACAACCGGTAATAATTGTCTATGCCATGATCACTAATAGATTATCATTATTAATCATCATGGCCAACATTATCATCATCTTCATCACTATCACCACAACCTTCTCCTCCACCTCATCACTACTATTATCATCACCACCCCGATCGTCATCAGATTCATCATTGGTGTCATCATGGAGGTATAAAATTAGACCTCCATGGTATCATATCATTATTTTTTTTAATTCAAAAACGTCCTTCGCCGAACACCTTCTTGGTCTTGAAGCACCCAAGAAAGCCCGGGGACCTCGATGCTTTACTAAACAAGGTTTGTGGATTTGAGAGCGGATCATTTAAGACCTTTGATATGATGCTCTACAACTAAATTCTCAGTTTTTAAGAATAGGAAGTGGAGACCTCTTCAACCAACGTTTATCTATATGCAGATTAGGCTTTGAGAGGAAAGGCCACTCCTTCTGAATTACCGGGGACCTTCGATCCATGGAGGTTTGGGAAGCGGAGGGCTGATCATTTCGGCCCATAATGCTCTACTACAGCGATGTATCTCAGTATAAGTGTGATAATCATTATCGTATCATATCATATATCATATCATATTTATTATCTATTTAACATATTTTTTTTTTATGTTTTACATAACATTTTCATAAACATTATGTTCTAACAAATGGTGCATTTGGCAAGTTTAATGGCCCATGAAATATGAACCTAACAATTATAAATACCAAAAAGAAATATTTTAGGATTTTTTACATATGCTATGTTTAAATACATAATAATTAAATTTGATTATACATTGAAAAATATAATTATTTTACCTAAAGTACGATTATATTTTGAATTTTTATATGAAGATTAATACAGTAAATATTTTAATTAATAAAAGGACAAAAATACACATTGCCTCATAACAAACATATTTTCTAACATATTAATTGGATTTTCTTTAAGATTTTCATCAAAAACATAATCAATATTTAAATCTCCAAATAAAATCATATCTGAATCTTTAACACGTGAATGAATCATTAAATTAAAATACTTTTATCTGCATCAGGTGGTCTATACATACAGCTAATTAATACGTTAGCATATTTTCGTCTAAAAATTTTAATCCATATATTACTTCAAGACTGTCAATCGGTAAGTCCGGTCTTTCTTTAAATGAGTGACAATCTTTTACATAAATACACACACCAGCTGCATTTTTTATAGACCCGATCATTTCTAATTATCTGATAACCATCAATATGTATACATTCACTTGAGGAACATATAGTAAGCTAAGTCTCGGAGATGCATAAACCATCAAAATCACAATTCAATACAATTACTGTAATCGAATTTCATTTTATTTTTAAACTACGACAATTTAGGTGGGCAATTTTCAGCCCGCTTTGTTTCTTTGACTTCCTAGTTCTATCGTTGCAGTTTCGCGAAATGTGACCCCATCTTCTACAGTCGTAACATTGTACTCCGGCTCGGAATTGTTGACTTCTAGTTTACGCCAGGCGATTTTTTTTCATCAACATGATTCAGTTGTTCTAAATTAGCGATTAGTTTTCTCTTACCTGGAGTGGATAAGCGTAGTCCATCAGACGATATAAGGCTTTCGTCAATACTATTGTCATGGTATTTCAAGTTCGATCGTCACTTACAAATTTTACGCCATTTTCTTCCTCAAGATTTTGTAGAATTTAAGGAGTCCAATTTCATCTGATCATTTTTACGATCAATCCGAGGTGGTATACTAGCTACCTTTACAGCTGTCTCTTATATTATATGATTGAAAAAAAATTGAAAAATTTTTTTGACCTCTGAAATCAAGATTGAAAAATAAAAGCCTATCTCAGTAGCTGTCTCTTATACACATCTAGATGTGTATAAGAGACAGTGTATATATATAGGCCTATATATATATATCATTTATATCATATCGGATCACATCATATCATATCATGACATATTATAGCCATAGGCCAATAAATCATTTTTTTTAATAATATTTACAATTAGTGACGCTACATAATGACCACATCGTATTCACAGATTTGCACATTGTGTTTGTTGCATTAAAAAGTGCAGATCAGACCATTTTCGTGATAGTGTAGCTTTAGGGTTCGCATTACTCTCACATAACTCAAAAACAATAGACCTTTCCTGAGTGTTAATCAAACTAACTTATGACCAATCAAAACAGCGCCAGGAATACGCGCGCGTCTCACATACAAGCGTTGTCCCACAAACGCACGTGTTACTGTACTGGAGGAAACAATCATCCATAATGAAAAATTTTCTCCTATTTACGACAAAAGCTCATTCAGGTAAATTTGACCTACATTTTATGCATGAACGCACTAACCGCAGTAAACTCGAAATTCGTAGCTGCTATTGGCCTTAAGCGCGTGACGTCATTCAAAGGAGGATAAAAAAATACAATTTTAAAGACAAAATGATCAATGGTTATTTAAGCAACCAGCATGGGATTTACATGGCAAGAAAGCTTAATTTATGAGCTACAATTGACCGTCTACCGGTCGTTGCAGAGTTATGGTAAAAAGAAGCAGGAAGTATATACCAAAAAAAAACAAAAAAAACACTCTATTAATTTTAACCTTTTTCCTATGCAAAAGCATAAGAGGTAGTCAAATTTGAAAGAAAAATCATCACTCAATTTTGCATTAATTGTAAGAATATATAGATGATTATAAAGCTTAAAACAACTAGTTTTATAATCCGATCGCCCCAGATTGCCCAAATGAAACTATTCAAATTATATAATCGATTTTGTGAAAAAGGGGTCCCGTTTTGACTTATTTACTGTGTTGAGGTGCAGTGAGTAGATGTCTCCAAGTTTTCAATATGAATCTTTGAAACCATAATGAACACACTGTGTACAGTAGTGTAGTATGAGATGGTATGAACAACAAGTTTTATTTAATTTTTATTTAATTATTATAAATAATATTATTTATATCTAAAATAACTTAGGTTGGTTTTAAATTGATCCGAGCATCGAATATGTAATTTCAAATTTCGCGAAAGTAAATAAGAAAAAAATTAACTTAATATTTAATTACAAGTACTTTCTAAGCTCATACTTGCCAAAATGGATGTAGAATGCCCTACAACGACGGGGTCGGGGGTGTCGCAATGGTACAGGGGTGATGTTCCCGGAAGCTTTAATGATAATTTAGTTTCAAAGACATATTTAATCGATTTAAGCGTCTCCTAATATGTAAATACATATAATTTTCTTTTCTCCCCGACGACGAATTGTGTTTTCTCCCGTCGGCAGCAGGGGTGGCGCCAGGATTTGCCCGACGGGGGGGGGGGGGGGGGAAAAAAG